CGAGGGGGTTTGGCGGCCGCGTTCTGCCCGGGTCTCCTGGTCAGCACGCCTGATCCCCCCGGCCGGCCGCACGGCCCCGCCCGGGCCGGTGATTAATAACAGCGCCTTGGCTGCGCCGAACAACCCGCACGGAACGCACTCTTCGCCGGTTTTGCTGCAGGCTGCCTTCGACAATGTCAGACAGTCTTAAAGGGAGTTTCCACAGCCCTCGTCTGGACGAGGGAGGTGCTGGACGTAAACGGAAAATGCTAAAATACCCAATTTAAGAAAAATGTTCATCTTTGTTTAAAAATAGTTTGTTGCATGGAATTTAAAATCATAGTGTTCCTGGTCTGTCAGGCAGTGACAAAACTTCCGAAGAGAAAACCTACACAGCACGTTAGATGGAGGCAGCTCTTCATAAACAGTGTTTCAGCATCTCTTCCAAGGCTTGATGACAACGAAGAATGTACTTTCCCTTAGCCAATTTCCTTTAAGTCCTACTAAGAGCATTCAAGACTGGTACGAACAGCACAACGCTGAAGAGAGGATGGCCAGAAGCCAAACACCTTGCCTTTGGCAGGAGGAATCTGCCACGTGTCCCAGAGCTTTGACTTATCAAACAGCTCCAAAACTATCCACGCTCGTTTGCTCTTTCCTCATGAACCACCACCCTGGCACCTGCTTGCACAGAACAGCAAAAGCCACAGAAGCCGCCAGCCAGGCTCCCACTGCCTGCGCCCAGCCTTGGGCTGGACTCACCGCTTCCCCAGCAGACGGTGTCGATCTCCTGTTTTAGCCATGTCAGCGGGTTGCTCGCCTACACACACACGAGTGCAAGCTGAGCGCAACCTGATGTAGCTGGAGATGTCCCTGCTTGTTGCAGGGGGTGTGGGCTAGATGACCTTTGAAGGTCCCCTGCAACCCAAAGACTCTAGAGTTCCGTGATTCTACTCTATGAGGAACACAATGCCTGTTCCCACGGCTGCAGACTGACTGGCGACAGCACACGAATCGTTCACAGCAATACCATGACTGGTTGTCACACATCCCTCCCTCCCAGGATCCCAAAAAACATGTAAGTGCAGAACCACCTGCCTGAAGAGGGTCAGTCCCCTTCAGCCAAAGTCCACAGCACCACAGCCAGTCCTTGTCCTGGCTGAGGGTGAAGGACATTGTTTGTTTCTGCGAGAAGTTTAGGGGAGAAACTGCCCTTTTACAAGGGTTTAGATACACTTACTCATTCCAATACTGATTTTCTTAGTCAAAAATGTCTCAAAGTAAGGCAATAAACTGAGGCACACCTGAATAGTTAGGTCCTGGAAAGAACCATCACACAGACTTGCTTCCTTCCCAGCACCAAGCATACTTTGGGGAAGAAAAAAAGTTAATTGATTTGGTTTCAGTGGAATTCCAAAACCACTCCACAAGTGAACTGCTGGCAGGCCACCAGCACCATTTTGTTACTGCGAAACACCACACAAGGAACACAGCTGTAATTGCACGAAGCTCATTTCTCGCTCCAGTGCTGACCACGTTCAGCAGTGGTCAGGGGAGCCCATTTTGCTTTGTGTTGCCTGAGATAACAAGTGCTCCCACCCAGCTCCTGCTTCCTCACCCAAGATGTGGCTCCAAGAGAAACCGTTGCAGCTGCTCTAGGGAGATCACAAGTACTTGTCTGATCACACTTTCAGAGAAAGATCACCCAGACAGTATTATTTATTTCTAGACATATTAACATGATTCAGCCTGGGTTGACACTGCTGGAGATGCCTGCGCCCTTCTGAATAATTCAAGACCATGTTTTTGCTTTTTGTTTTTTAAACCAATGCAATGTTCATTTATTTTTGTACTTACAAAAAGAGCCACCCCATTGTATCCCTCCCCCCAAAATGCCTTTTACAAACATTTAAAAATTAAAAACCAGATGATGACATGTTAATTTGGTAGAATTATTTTGAAACATAACTTCTGTAATTAGAGTTAAATTTCCTACAAGATGACTTTGTAGATAGCCTGATTATCGGCCAAATAAAATTCCATATTACAAGTTAGCAAATTCTAGTACAAAAATAGTCCATGTGTTAGAACAGCCTCTTTTTATTATTATTATATTCACAGGAAAGAGTCTATTGGCTGCATAATACCTTAATATTTATGAAATTTCTTTTTATGTGGCTCATTCATCTAATTTAATATAGTGTTGAGCCTCAATAAATCCTCAGGCAAAAAAACCCTAAACAGGGTTAAATATGCTGTTCAGTGTACTCTGAAGTACTGTGCTTTTCACAGGACATCCAAGAAACCCCACAAACAGTTCTCAGCTAGTTTTAATATTAAAATGAGATCCAGATCCAAAAGGACCCCCCTGAAGTACATATCCATGACTTTCCATAGAAACGGAGGCCACAGCTTCGATGGTGAAGTTTCACTTGGGAAACAGTCTAGCTCATCCACTCATCATTTTCACGAATCCACTTGTGAGCTTCTTCAAAAACTAAAGCAGGTCGCTCCTGAAGCATCCGGGACCTTTATGGCACTGCCCTCTCCAGGAGTGTCCCTACTGACCGGGCTCTCGCTCCTCTTCTGTCTCTGGTTAATGCTGTTCAGCAGTTTCTCTCGGACCAGGCCCCGCAGGGAAAATCGGGGGAAATGCTACTTGTCTCTCAAGATGTCTAGCTGCTCTTGATACTCTGTGAAAAGCCTCTGGAAGCGGAGGTTCTGTCCAATAACAGGAAGAAGCTCTTTCAATAGTTCTCTCTTTCGTAAACCCTGCACAAAAACCACAAAAGCATCCTCAGAATGTATTACTCGGTCTCACAAGTGTATTCCACAGAGCTGTTTAAGATCCATGCCCTTTTTCCTGCCTCGAGAGGGCTGTGTTTTTATGTTCTTACTCTGCTTACGTGACTCTCAGAACAAAAACTGTCTTCACATTTATATACATTCATGAAGCTGGTGCAGCCTCTGCAGTTACAGACTCCAGACGTGCTCTGAGAAGGGAAGACATTTGATTGGCATGTCACTATTTCAAAGTTGCTGTCTGAAGAATGTGGAGACCTGAACATGCAACCCTGCTCCATCTGCATGATACTCAAGACAGCACCAGAGCTGAGACTGCGGCACTAAGCTTTTGTCTACAGTTTCACGGGAAACAAATCCAAGTGCCCTGGGAGGAAGCTTGCTTATGAGATTAGAGCAGAGTATGGAAAGGGTTTCAGGGTCAGCCAAAATAATTTGTGATTGCTTTTTCACCACAAAGTTTAATCACATTTTAAGTTCTATTGTCTATCCATGATCTGTAATTTTCATGGGAAACTCTTCCTTGTTCTTTGTTGAACTGTTACCAGGACTTACCATAACTGTTGATTCCCACTGACTTCCAGCTGAGTAATGGACTGGACCCAGTAAATCCTTGCACAATTCTCGCAAACGATATTCAAACCCTGAATATGATCAGAAATAAAATCACATTCATAAGAATTTCACCATATATAACCACTCCACAATTTAACTGACAATATTCAGGAAAGAGTTACAAGTATCTAGAATAAAATAAAGCCAAAACCATTGATTTCCAAAAAAAATATATTTATCTTTTAACAGCAAATTTTTGGAAAGATGAGATGATTTGTAAAGGATTTATTTTAGATTTCCAAAGGGTTTTAGGTTCCCAAAAGCAAAAACACTACTAAAGGTTATGTACAATGGGGAGCAAAACTGAAGTAGTTATTCCAGTTTGTTTTAAGAATTGCCCTAATCTCAATCTCATTCTCCCCTCCCCATAAAGATACCAAACAAAAAACTTTAGAAAACTGACAGACTGCAACAGCCTGAGAATACAAAAGAGATCTCACAAGAATTGGAAAGCCACAAGATGAAAACCAGTGAAGGGGAAAAGTTGTTAGGTTGTATTTAATGGCAATATATGAATTTGGAAAAATTGAGTCAGTAGTGAAAAAAAAATCAGACATCCTTCTGAAACATTAAAATATTACTAAACTAGAAGAGGTCTCTCAAATCCCCAGCAAAATAAAAAATTAAAATAGATCAAATTAATATGCACAAGTGTTAAAAAAAAAGTAAAAGAAAACCTTTAATAAAACTGCTCACAGTTTCCAGGCCAGCTTTATTCACTCAAAAATCGGAGGGGGGAATTCCCTGCAAGTAACAAAGTAATCCCTTCAAGAGTAATTTACCAATCAAGGTATAACAGATTGAATAATTTAATGGATTAGAATTTGTTAAACATTCAAATCACCATAGGAGTAGAGAGTCAATAACAGGACATGCAATTTTCAAAATTTAGCAGACCTGGAAAACTAGTGAAACAGTAATACACGCATGGCAAAGCAGAATTTGCAGTGACATCCAGTGTATAGACCCACACAAGGCAGCGACATTTGTGCAGTGCAAGATGAACCCTGCACATAAAATAGAGAGGTACTGAATTAGTGAAGATTTTAACAGTCTCTCTACCATACAACCCAAGATGAATATTTTCATTTCAACTGGGGAAGGACAGAAAGAATCATATGCAGGTCATTAAGCTCTCTTGTTAAATAAAGTAGGGGTCAAAAGGCAAGAATTAAATGAGCTCAGTTTTAATTCCACCAACACCTATTAGGTGGCCTAACATGAACTGTCTCTCTTCCCTCTGTTCAAAATGATTATGCATGCTGAATACCATGGGAACTACTAAATCTGGAATGCAGACAAGCAGAGACACAACAGAGATCTTTAGAATCCAAGAAGCATAAAGTCAGTTGGTTAACCTTATTTAGTGTAACAGCATAGAGATATAGTGTTTTCAAATACAAAATAGACCTAAGCAATCTTTCTTGTGGGTTTCTTTCCTCACATAATTTAACCTGTGGAGCTCACCAGTACGGGCTGTTGAAATTTTAGAATGTAAAAAAAATACAAAGCGCAAGTAACACAAGCAAATCCTCTGCAGTTTTACGTGCTCTGGTACAAAGTGGAAGAGTGGCTAGGTTGCTGACATTTCACAACCGACAGTGATCATCAGTTGGCCGAGGAACATTACATATTTTACAAGGCGTTGCTCGTTCCTCCGAAACACAGACGGCACTGTTTCCTGAGACCATGATCTGTTCACAGTCAGCGTGTCGAAATAGGATTCTGGAGTACCGAGCACTATAGGAAGCAAAAGTGCTTTCACCGTTTGTTTTTAAGTAAAACACTGAGTCCAGAAACCAAGTGCTGAAAGGGGAATGTTAAGTGTAATCATACATATAGATGACATGAATAGAGTGTTTCTTAAATATCTGTCAGAGCTGCAAAGAAGTAACACAGGATGGCAGGTCTCACCTTCATTAACTAGGTACCGTGCATAGATAAGGAGCCAGTGGCGATATTCGTGACTGGATTGTAACAGAAGTGCTGCCGCTATCTGGTTCTCCAGGTATGCAAGTGTTGTTTCTTGTTGCACTAAATGAGGCATGGAGAACAATCTTGCAGCTTGCCTTCCTGAACTGCAAAATCAAGGAAAAATTAACATGCCAGCCATAAAACCAGATCCTAGATTAAGAAATATGTATTTCTGTAGTACCAGCTATTCTACATATATCTTTCACAGGCACCTAGTGCTTCCAAAGCTCAAGCTTTTAATGGCAAAGGTAGCACTTCACAGCAACCTGCCTTTCCCCTCACTGGACCAGTTACAGGTATCAAGGTCCATGGAGGGTTTTCTGCCTCCTGTTCTTTTTCTCTTCTTTTCACCTGTCTTCTCTTCAAAAACACATGCTTTTCAGTAACCAAGTGCTCCTAAATGTTTATAGGA